GGGGAGGGGAGTAGGGGATCGAGGGGGGGGGGCGATCGGGGAGGAGGGAGGGAGGAGGGGGAGCGATCGGGGAGGAGGGGAGGAGGGGGGGCGATCGGGGTGGAGGAGGGGGAGCAGCGATCGGGGACGGGGGAAGAGATCGGAGGCAACGCTCAGGGGGGTAGACTCAGGGAGGTGCGGTAGTGCATCTACGACGTCCGATCGTCCATGGACCGCCGACATTTGCCTGACGGCCCCACCCCGCCCAGGAGCGTGCGGATTCGCAATCAGCCGCTTAATGCCGATCTATCGGCGAGGTATCGGCCGATTCCAGGTCGATGTGTCCCCCTGAGTTGGTTCCCCCCTCACGTTGCCCCTCGGGAGGGGGCCAGAAGGGAGTGGATAGGGGAGGTGAAGGGGGTAGGGAGGGGAGGTGAAGGGGGAGGGACGAGAGGAGCAGCGGGTACACGAGAAGACGCGCCGAGTTGGGGTTCGAGGATTGCATGAGCAGTGCGAAACAGTTCGGCGGCGAGCGAGGGGGGGAAGTGAGAAGGAGAAAACATTATCAGAAATCGACTGGGCCTATCAGAAGCCCTCGAGCCTTCTTAGAAGTGTTACGTGTCTTCGGGGAAGGCTTAGACAACGTCTCTCAGAAGGCAGGGGGACTTCCGAGCTGTTTCAGAAGGCCCGCCCCTTCTCACTTCCCCCCTGGGCTTGCCGCCGAAAAGTGTAGCAGCAAAATCGATCACGGAACGAGGACCATACCGACGCGGCATGAAGCCATCAGCACAATCAGGCGTGGGGGGTGCGACATCGCCGACGCGACCCTCGAGATCCGACCGACCACGAGCGGTGCAACAAAAGAATAGGAGAAGAAGGAGGAGGAGGAGGAGGAGGAGGGCAGGTTGAGGAGGAGGAGGAGGAGGAGGAGGAGGAGGAGGGCGTGGGGAAATGGTTGAGTGGGTGGGGGGGGCGAGGTAGGGTGGGGGGGGATGGGGGAGAAGGAGCGAGATCAGCAGTCGCCTGCAACGCCTCCCCCCCACCCACGCCCATCACCGAACGGCACACGCCCGCACCGAACTTCGCGGGGGCCGCGTCCTCAAGCAGGCGGTCTGGGACCCCTCGATGCCTCTCCGGATGCCGCAGGAGACATCAGGCAAGCAGGTCTTCGGAGGGGTCCCCGAAGGTCTCGGGGGGGCTTCCAGAGGCTTCTGGAGGCTTCCAAAGGCCCACAGTCAGCCCGCAGAGGGCCAAGGCTGCCAAGCCCTTGACTCCAGGCCTCCTAGATGGGGTCGGAGTAGATGGGATCGGAGGATATCTCCGCATCGCCGATGCATCGCCGATGCGGCTCGATGTGGAGCCGGATTTGCTTCACGTCGACGTCGCCGATGCGTCGCCGACGTCGCCAGTGCATCGCCGATGCATCGCCTATGCATCGGCGATTCATTGGTGATGCGGCGCGATTCTTCGACGCCATCTACTCGGACACCATTTGGGAGGCCTCTGAAGGCGGGCAGGCAGGAGTGCCGGGGGCGCGTCGCGTGAATCCCACAGGCCTTCGCCTTTGTGGCCGCCGTGCTCCAAGCAGCGCTACGGACGCGCTGTGCGCGGTAAAGGGAGGATGGAAGCAGCGAGTGGGGTCAGCCCTCTCCTTTTTCCAGCCGCGGCCAGTTTCTTAAAGTATGTACAGCCTTGGCCATCATATCATCCCTGCTTCGGGTCCTTTCCAGACCCAGACGGTGTGTCCAGCCATGGCCAAGACTTGTCATCGGCCACTTCTCCCCCTCCCAGGAACGCCTACGCGATTCGATGCGATTCTCCGTCCGGGGCCGCGATTCTGACTGTATTCGATTCGTTGCGACTCACCGGCATCGGCCACTGCCAGCTCGAGCCAGGCGTGGCGATCCGATCTCGATTCGATTCGATTTGGCACGATTCGCTGGCGATCCGAGCCGCTTCCGATCCGATCCGGATTCGCGATTCTACCCAGCTCAGGGCTGCCTCCCCGCCCCCATCCACATTTACTCGATATGAGCACTGGTCTCTCTCTCTCTCTCACTCTCTCGCTCTCCCGACTATGTGCTGAAAGTGTCCCGCCCAATTCGTGTATTGTGCTGTCACGCAGGAAGTCAGCAGCTTGCCTTTGTCTCACATCTGTCTCGCCAACTCACACTGATGTTCCCGCTGCAGCGTCGGCCTCCTTTTAGGGTCGGCGCTTTGCTCCCGTCGTTCAGGCTGTCGCTCTCGCCCCAGCGCGGGCCTCTTTTCTGGACCCGTGTCCTTCCTCGTCGCTGTCGCCCCGCTCCTTTCCTCTCCCGCCTTTCCCTGGTCCTCCTCCTCCTCCCGCTTCTCCTGCTCCCGCTGCTGCTCCTCCTCGTCCTCCCTCCTCCTCGTCATCCTGCTCCTCTTCCTGCTCATCCTCCTCCTGCTCGTCTGCGACCTCCGTCTCCTCAAGTGTACACGGCTACCGTTCGTCTCTGCGTGCGCACAACAGGACGGTGTCCTTTTTGGGGGTTCCAGCTCCGCTATGACCACACAGGGGGACTGGTGGGAGGGGTAGGGTGTCGTGTATGTCACGCGAGCGCGCCCCGCTCAACCTCTCTCCCCCATCCCTCCTCTCCCCGTCTCCCGCCCCCTGCCCCCCTTCCCTCGCCTCCCCTGCCCCCCCCCCTCCTCCCCCGCCCCCCCTGCCTCCCCCGCCCCCCTCGCCTCCCCTGCCTCCCCCCGTGGCCCCCCGAGCCCCGGCGAGGCATCGACGAGGCCGGCCTGAAGCGGGAGGGGAAGCACGAGGTGTCCGCCGTGTGGCAGGAGCAGGGCGGCCAGCCGGCCAGCAGGCGCCCCCCCCACCCAAAAACCTTTGCGGGTCGCGGCGGGGTCTGCCGCAGTCGCTCTCTCCCCCCCCGTTTTGCTCCCTCCTGTCTCCTCCCCCCCCTTCTGTCTCCTCCTCCTCTTGTACCCCATGTATTTCTCCCTCCTCCGTCCCTCCCTTTCTCTCTCTCTCTCTCTTTGTTGTACCTCTCTCTTTTTCTCTGTCTCTCTCTTTCTCTCTCTTTTGCTTCCTTCCGAATGCATACATATGTGTGCATGTATAGAGATCTTCCCACTTGCAAGTGCGGCCACAGGCCGATACGGAGGTTGGGAGGGTGGAACCAGCCACGGGAGCGTTATCGGGACAACCGTCTACATCCATCAAACAGCCTCGATCGGCCTCAGTATCGATCGCTCGATGTCACTATCAATATGTCAGTCGATTAATATGTGCATCTATAAGTATGAGTCGATAACACTATATGTATGTACATCGATCGACTTCGCGCGCCACGATGCGTGTATATATTTATGTACACATAGTTATCCCCCAATCAGTGTTTGCACTTAGGGGTTCTTACTGTCTCAAAGGAACTGGGCTGGTTGGGGGGTCTGGCGGCTATGTACTCGCCGTCGCCGCCTCGTCGCCGCCCGTCGCCGCCATTGGATTGCACCACACAGATAGCACGAACAAGTACATCGAGCCAGTGGCGCGCTCTTTAATTGTGCACAGCATAAGTTGCACCATATAGATTGCACCACACATACTGCGCAACGACAACCACATCTATTGCACCATATATATTGCACAGCATAGGTTGCACTACATATATTGCACCACGTATATTGCATCACACAGTGCTGCAGCACATAGATGGCACGAATTGTTGTTTGCGCCTGCGGCGCGCCTTCTGATCGCTCACAACATACATTGCACTACGTGTCTTGTACAGCATATATTGCCCCACGTGGACTGCACAGCATAGATTGCTTAACACAGGTTGCACCACATACATTGTACTAGTAGGTTCTCCCTTCTAAAATGAGATATAGACTCTACCCTTCCCCGGCATTATCACTCCCCCCGCGTCCTATTTAAATCACACACACGATTCTGACCACATGTCCATCCTAAATATGAAATCACAATGTCCCAGGCCAACCGGGTTCCCCCCTGAGGTTCCCTAGTAACAAAAAAACATTATGCGGTGACATGTATTGTTCTAGCATTGCACTTTTTTACGAATCGCTATTGGATGTCGCTGAGCAGCGACGGCAGCCGCGTGGCCATTGGAGCAAGGTTTAACCACGGTGTTGGGCCAAGTTCGGGTCACGCTCGCGTCTTCGAGCTCTCGGGCAACGCGTGGAGCCAGGTGGGGCAGGACATCGATGGCGATGTTTCAGGCGACGAAAGTGGCTGTTCGGTGTCGCTGAGCAGCGACCGCAGCCGCGTGGCCATTGGAGCACGTTCTAACAACGCTGCTGGGTCAAATTCTGGTCACGCGCGCGTCTTCGAGCTCTCGGGCAACACTTGGAGCCAGGTGGGGCAGGACATCGATGGCGAAGCTTCAGGCGATAAAAGTGGCTTTTCGGTGTCGCTGAGCAGCGACGGCAGCGCGTGGCCATTTGAGCACGTTATAACGACGGTGCTGGGACAAGATCTGGTCACGTGCGCGTCTTCGGGACCGAGCCGGCCAGCCCAGCGGACAGCCCCACGCCGACTCCGACGGCGCCCCCGACGTCCAGTCCGACGCCATCGCCGACTGAGGCCCCGACGAGCAGCCCGACCTCCAGTCCGACCGCGTCCCCGACGACCAGCCCGACGTCTGCACCAGCGGCACCGCCCATCAACAGCGGCCCAATGGTCAAGGGCATCGACGACCCGCATCTCGCCAACACGCTCGGCCAGAAGTTTGACCTGCTTCAGGCTGGGTGCCACACTTTGGTCCAAATCCCGAGGTGGGAGCAGCATCGGACTGATTTCCTTGTGCAGGCGAGGGCGAGTCGCGTTGGGCGCGGGCGCGCTGATCTGCATTTTACGGAGATCAACATCAGCGGCACGTGGGCTCGTCGTCACAAGGCAAAGGGCTTGCGTTGGGACGCCGAGGCTACGAGGCTGGCCAAACCAACAGGGATGACCTTCCACAATGTGGTCAAGGTCAAAATTGTGCATGGCCGCACAGCCCAGAATACGAAATACCTCAACATCTTCATGAAGGGGCTGCACAAGACAGAGGTCCCAGTGGGTGGCCTCCTCGGGGAGGAGGACCACACGGCGGCCACCACCCCAGACAAGGGTTGCAAACACATCATGACGCTGTGAGTCTTCTCCCGCCCCGGTCCCAAAGTGCAGAGTGCTTACGGAACAAGGCTCCAGGAAGCTGGCGGGGTCGGCCGTGGTGGAGGGTCGGGGAGGTGGGTGGCGGACGGTGTGGAGGGGCTCCAGGAAGCAGGCGGGGTCATTCGGACTCAGGATAGAGAATTCATGCGCGAACCAAGCATGTCCAACTCTCGTTCGAGTGCCGTGTGGGATAAAAAATAATGTTGGGGTATTTAGTTGCGTGGCACTGCAGCCCAGGGTAGCATCGCCTTCCACGCAGCAATATCCAGCGAGCTGCAGCCCAAGGGAGCAGTTCATGCACAGCACTGGCCGCTGCATCTCTGGCACCTTCTGCTGAGAGCAAGCGAGAAAAGATCCCCGCGGCAGAGCTATCATAGGGAGAGGGTTTTTTTACATACGGCTCCATCTACCATATGCAGCCGCGCTCCGTGGCCAGGTGCACGGCCGTCCTCGGCCCCTCTTTGTCCTCCTTTCCGCATCCTCCTCATCCTTCCTCGATCTACGCATGTTTCCCCTCTTCCATTAATCATTTGCCATGTGTTTTGCAGTGTCTCGCGGCGGATCCCCAGCCCATCCTTGAGTTGTCCACTCGCTGCGGTGTCGAGGATTGTATCCTCGACCTCTGACTACTACATTTGCTTGTTGCTTTGTTTGACCCGTGAGCCACCCCGCTCAGGATGCGCGCGAGGAGCTCCGCCCGTGCCTTCTGCGTGCAGGAAAATAACAATAAAGAAAATAATAATAATAATAATAATAATAATACAAAATCTGGGGAGAGCACCGCCCACCCCTCCACCCCTCGCCGGCCCCCCCACTTCCGACCGGGATCACCAGGTCGGGAGTGGGGGTCCCGGCGGGGGGTGGGGGGTGGGTTGTGCTGTTCGGGGGCCCCCAAACGGCGCGATGACCACACCATGTGGTGAGTCGATGCGGATTCGGGGTCACCGCACGGTTTTGGGACTCTGGTCGTTCTCCGAGGACGTCTTGGGCGACTGGGGCATTCGAGGTCCCAAAACCGTGCGTTGACGAACCATGCGGTGAGGCTTTGAGGGATTTTAAGGTCACCGCACGGTCTGTCACCGCGCCGACGGCGACACCGACGACGAGAGCACGCGCCGACGACGACGACGACGACGACGACGACGACGACGACGGCGGCGGCGACGGCGACGACGGCGATGACGACGACGACGACGACGACGACGACGACGACGACGACGAGAGCACGCGCGCGCCCCGGCCAGCAGCAGTGCACCCGCGCCCGCGGTCGACGACAGGCGGGCCCTCCGCCAGCGCCGCTGCGGGCGGGCCGGGCCGGGCCTCGGACAGTTGAGGCGCGGGAAGTTTGGCATCGCCGGGGCCGTCTCGAGCAGTGGTGAAGTGTCTTGGCTTGCCTGTAGGCCCACCAACTCATGTTCTGAGAACCTTTCGTGGTCTGCTGCAAAAGCTTCCAGAACAGGCTTGGCTGATTTATTGTCTCGCTGTAGCACATCGGGTTTAAATCATCAGACCATTGTTTTGGCCATTTGAACATGTGTGGGGTTCTCAGAATATTCCGCGGTAGGCATATAGGAATGCCTGCACGGTCGGTCCCTGCTCAACTGTCTTGCTTTTTCGGCTACGCCTCCGCGCCCTCCTCCCCCCTTCTCCAGGGGAGAGGAAAAACACCTGACCAGACCAAACAAAAGGAAGTCCCCCCTTCGGGCCTTGCCTGTAGATGTAGGAACGTCGCCTTCCAAGAAGCGGCCTCCTCAGAATCTTTCCCCACCCCCTACCTCCTTGTGCGCGCCGCCAATGTGGATTTTCTCGGCGGGGGCCATCGGTGAGCATCTGAGACCGTTTTTGCGAACAGAAAGACGCACGAGACCGAAAAATGCACCGGGAGGGAATGGACTTCCAAGCGATCGCGAGGCTTTCGCAGCCGATTGGCGGCGCCCACGAAGGGAGTCCGCCCACGAAGGGAGTCCGCCCACGAAGGGAGTCCGCCCACGAAGGGAGTCCGCCCACGAAGGGAGGTGCCCCCGAAAGATCAGGTCTGTCATACAAGATGGGGAACATCGGGGATACACTGTCAGGAGGGGCTATTCGGGCGAACCCCCATCGAGGATGAACGCCCCCCCATCGAAGATTCCAGGGCTGGGCCCCAAATTTCTCGTCTATTCGAGAACCCCACGAAGCCTTGGATAAGGAGTCGTCCTATCCCCTGTCAGTGAGGGGCGGCCTAGCCGACCCCTAGCGAGCCATCCCCTTCTGTGACGCACCCCTCGCCTCGCCCCGAGGCGTACGTCCCCGAGCTGGGCCCACAATGTTCAGGAGGAGAAAGAACACGCAGACACAATTAGTCGTCGATTCCCCAGACAATATGGGAAAATGTTGGAATTGGGGGGGGAGACAAAAACCCGGAAACTATGGGAATGTATGGGGAACCTTTTCATTTGTGTGTGTTGATTTGTGTGTCCCAGGGCCCCTTCAAATGTCTGGTCCAGTCGAAAACTCCCCACAGTCTGGGATGGGGGCCGCCGTGCCCCTCGTGAGGGGGCGGCGCGAGGCGGGCGGGCGTCCAAGGGGGCAGGGGAGCGCCCTGGAGGGCAGCTGCCTCCCTGCAGGGGCCCGGCGGCTTCTACGGTCGGCCCAGCTTAGCAGGTCGACCCTGCCTCGGGGGCGGCAAAGAGGGGGGTGGTGACCAGGGGGGGGGGGGATATCCTGGCGGGGGCCATGATATTTCCCCAGATTTCATGGCGCCTCTGCCTATTTCATTGCGCCGCTGGCCCCCCCGCTGGGCCGCGCACATGCCGCCGGTCACGATGTCCGCCCCCCCCTCTTCTTGGACACCCCCCTCTTGGCCGCTCCCGAGTCGACCCTGCCAGCTCAAGGGTACCCTTGTGTCCTGTGCCTCGCGACACGTGCCTTCTTGCACTCCACTGGCGATGTGGCCCTTGGAAGGGTCTTGTGTCCTCTCGCGTGTCCTGTCCAATCAAGGCCGACTGTATCGGGCGATCGCAATCACGGATCAAGGGGGCGTGGCTTAGCGACGGGTCCCGCTTCCATGGGAAATCGCGGATTTCCGCCGCCGAGCGAGGCGGCGCCGGCCGCATTTTGGAGAGAGTACCTCCCCCGATCCATGGATTTGGCGACCGCGCGCCAAATCCATGGATCGCCAACCCATGTCTGCGCGCCCCCGGTTCCAAGAAGCCTATGTGGAAGCTTTTGGGGCCCTCAAGAAGTCCCCTGCCAAGAGGCCCCGCTGCCGTCTTAGAGGCCCACCCCCCTGGCGCCAGCCCCCTCGTGGGCGCCTCCCAGTCGAGGCCTGGAGGCGGGAGCATCTTTGGCTGCGAGGCGGGGCTGGCTGTGCGCCCGGTTTTTGCCTCGGTTCCTCCCAAGCCTTAGGTCGGGCATGCCTCCTACAGGCGGTCTTTGGAAGAACAACACGACGTAGTCACCAAATACCCCGAAATGGTCGAAGAAAGTCCCCCCCCCAAAAAAACGTCTCCCGATTATGTTTGAACCTATTGTTCAATACCTGTCCTGTGCAGGGACATGCCCGACTGAACCCGAGCTCCTCGGAGGCCTCTGCCGCACCAGGGCCAGAGGGATGTTTCGTCCGTTGTGCCAGGCTCCTCACGGGAAGACTTCCCCTGCACATGCGCAGGTCGGTGGATGACTTGGGGCGGGGGGGGGGTCCAGCTGCTTTCTCGGGAGCCTTCTGGAGGACCCGGGCACGCCTCTCTGCGCCCTCCCTCCCTGCTCCCTCCTCCTCGCAGTGCCTCCCTCCTCTCCGCGTGCTCTCTTTCTTTGTCGTGCTTGGGCCTCCGCATCATCCTCTGCCCCTGCTGCTCCTCCGCCTCCTCGCTCCCCTCGCCCTCCTCTCCCTTCAGCGCGAGGGCTCCCGGCTCCGGGGGGGGGGGGGACTGGGGGAGCGGGGCCTCCGCAGCATCCTCTGCCTCTTCTGCTCCTCCTCCGCCTCCATAATTACACAATATGAACACTATTCTCCTCTCTCCCCTGATGACGTCCGGAAGATATCCGGCCCCCCTCCGCGTATTGTTTTTCACACAGGATTCCCAGGAAAAAAGCTTCTTTTTGGTTTTTTCCCCCAAAATGTTGCTCCCGCTGCAGCGTTGGCTTCATTTTTGGGCTTCCGCTCGTTCCGAATCGTGCTCCCGCTGCAGCGCTGGCCTCATTTCCGCGCGTCCGCTCGTCCCGAATCATGCTCCCGCTGCAGCGTTGGCGTCATTATTTCCAGTGCCATGCCACGGCATGGTTTTCGGTCTTTCCAGATAGGCCCCAAAATTAAGAAAACTTGCCTCCCGACAAAAACCATCGGAAGTGAATCCACATCCAGTGTCGGTTCGTTGATTATTGGGACCGCAGAAGCCCCCCACTTTGGGGCGTCGCCACGCCATGCTATGTCATGCTACGCGTTGATCTTCAACACCATGCTATGCCATGCAATGCTACACCATGCTGCGACATCCGAGTGCGAATACAAGTGAGATCTACGCCATGGTAAGGAATGGGAGGGAGGGGCAGGACGTCAGATATGACGCGAGCGCACCTAGCTTGTCACTCCCCCCCCCTCCTTCCTCTTCCCTCCTCCCTTCACCTCGTCCCTCCTCCCTCTCCCATCTGATGTCTCTCTCCTCTTCTCCTCCTTTCTCTTTGGGTTCCCATCGCCTCTTAGGCTTCACGTGCCCTGCCAGGGCCAAGCACGGATTGTGGCACGTAGTCGATGGTGCCCTTCTCTGATAAATTGATGTCCTCCTTTTATTCCATCCACTTTCACCTCCTCCTCCCTCCCTCCCTCCCTCCCGCCTCCTCCCTCCTCCTCCTCCTCCTCCTCCTCCTCCTCCTCCTCCTCCTCCTCCTCCTCCTCCTCCTCCTCCTCCCCTGCTGTTGCTCCTCCTCCTCATCGATCCCCCCTCGTTCCTCCCCCTTCCAGCGCGAGGGATTCGGCGGCCGGAGCGTGGTTGTCGGGGGTGGCCGTAGCGTGGTTGTATAATCGGGAGGGCAGGCATCAGACAGGTACGAGGAAGCCGACGGCTCGTGCCACAACTTCGCGGTGGCCAGGGGCGATGAGGACGATGCGGGAGGTGAACAACGAGAAGAGGATTACGCAGTGCGAGCACTGGAAGAAGCAAGAGTAGTACCGCGGGGACTGGGACCACTACTCGGGATCGGGGGATTCGCCAGGCTGGTGGAGTGCATCGAGATGGTGGTCAGGAGTATCAGATCAGTGGCAGGATGAGGGCCTGGAGTGGTGGCGAGCCGACACCAAGCCCCCACAGGAGAGAAGGAGCGACTATGGCCAGCCTCTTCAATTCCTCGGCCTGGCACACCTCGAGGCATACGTCACCAACAAAGAAGCCTGGACGAAGAGGACTGACATTCAACCAGAGGCCCAGGCGTCCAAGATTCTCGGGGGGTACCCAACGGAGTTGCAACGCAAGTTCAAGGGTATTCGCACGGATTCTAGACACGAGTCACAGAGTGAAGCAGTTGATTGAGCACCTCCAGTCGCTGAGCGGGGAGCGACCAGGAGACCGCGAGAAGAAGGTTCAGTCGGCGGCATTTTTCGTGTACGGCATCAGTCAGGGTGAAACTCTTATGGAAGTGGTGCGCAGTGACGTACAGATGGCACAGATCGAGTGGTTGGCTGGTCTCTCCCAAACAACGTCAGGGCTCATTTCTACGAGGAGGAATCCCAACTGTCAGGACACACGAAGGTCAATTTACGCATTCTGATGTCTGGCAGTCCGTCCGGCGCATTTGTCTGTCGGTCTCTTCTGTTCCCGGAAGCCGACCTTCAGCGAGCAAGAGTTTTGCCGCCGTACCCGACGAGACTGAATGCGAATGATGTGCGAGGACGAGTCCCAGATGAGTCTGTACGACGTGAGGTTCGCGGAAGAAGAGGTTGTCGTGCTTCGCACGATCATCAAGACAGAGGTCTACTACGAGGACGAGGCCTACCAAGTGTTCGCTGAGATCGCGGAGCCCAGGCGCCGCGAGATCTGGATGGAGGCGAGGCAGCTGAAGGCGGCGCGCGAGGGCGACAGGGATCTTTTCGACCAGGAGAGGGGCAGCACTATACTCCAGGTCATTGCAGCATTAGCAAGGAGGACCTGAAGAAGCGCACTCGCCGCGACAACTGCGGCGAGAAAGGGCGCTGGCGGGGAGACCGTCGCAGACGCGACTGCTCCATGGCCGACAGGATCAAGAGTGCAAGATCGGGGTCAGGTCTAGAAAGCCGGCGCTAGCCAACTCGAAGGTGCATTTCTTTTCGTTCGGCGAGTTCGACTTCTCATCTGCCTCGCACGCCACCTTCCTGGAGGAGTTATCCGACGCAATCAGCCAGGTCAGGGCGGATGCATTCGCGGGGGCCACGCCTCGCGAGATGGGCAGTCACGGGGTAGTCGACGCGGCGGCAGCCCAGGCGTTCATCGGCAAGCCCGACCAGCAGCAGATGGTCCAGCATTCAAGGAGAAGGGCGGTGTTATCCGCGTCAGCTACGATGATGATCTACCCCATGCGAACGGGGCTGGTGGTCGCATCAAGCCGATCGCAAGAGCCTCTGTTCCATCGTCGTTTTGCCGGCGCGGTGTTCTTGAGTTTCTGGCGCTGCCCCGCGCGTGCCCGGCGCCGATCCCAGCCGGGCCCCTGGGTTCTTTGGGGCCGTCAGCAACGCGAAGACCAACGAGACCAGTTTCGAGAACAGTTCGGAGGACATTGAAATGCTGAAATTGCCGTCCGGCCATCGTTCGATATGCTCGATCGGTCGCCCCTCGTCAGATTTCGAGCCCAGTCCTGGGATCCAGAAGAAGCTCCCGAGGAGCTTCACGGCCAAGGACTTCTCGGACCCCACCCCGATGACGAAGGGGGCCGACGACGCGGACTTCTGGCAGGGGGCGGGAGACAGAGTGCGACTCCAAGACATTCGTCCGAGGCGTGCTCACGTGGATCCACGAAAGAGGATGGACTGCCGATCTCGATCAATCATCCCACCGCCAACAGAACGACCTGCTGCAAGTTTCAAGACGGCCAGGGCATCTGGGTCGAACATTTCCTCGAGCGCAACTGGAACGACCCCCAGAACAGCGCGCGCACGCCGGACCATTGGATCGGCTACTTGGAGTTCCACGCGAAGCAGGCGAAAACTCAGGGCGCGGACAGCGGGGGGGCTGGGCGGCTCGAACGGGCAGGAAGTAAAGCGCCCGCATTTTATCCCCTCCTCTCCTCTCTCCGAGGGGGTCGTCAGCGGGGCTGCTTCAGGAGTCGACAGAGTCAGAATTTGCGGAGGCCCCCCTCAGTTGCCAGTCTTGATCAATCGAGCCGCTCCAGGGCGCAGGTCCGCCATGCTGAAACCCACAGGCAAGAGGAGCGCGATGGGCAGGAGGGTTGCGTCAGTCTTGGCAGCGAGCCGAAGATGCACCGGGAGTGCGGGGCTGCACTTGCACTCTCCGGCCCTGGAGATGTTCGAGGAGGACGATTCGGAGATCAAGGCGAACTGGGAAGTCGCGGGTGGCCCTTGGCACAACGGCGAGTTCCAGAGGATCGACTATTCGGGCGTCGATCTGTCAGGGAAGGAAAAGTCTCTCTTGAACGAGGGAGGGTACGTCCTCGCACCTGACGCTGATGATCACGCTGCAGACCCGTGCCGACTCGAGGCCCCCGGCGAGTCTGGCCCCGAGGCTCGAGGCGGCGAAGCTGGCCCCAGAGGAGAAGATGGCTAGCGATAACGAGAGGAAGCAGCCAAACAGGGGCACGAGTACCGGGGGGGCGAGCGGAAGCACGCGCAGTTGATGATCCAGTTCAGAGCACCGATTACCGGCAAGCGGAGAAGGACCCGATCGAGAGACCACCTCACAGTCCTCCTCACACAGTCCAGCACCATCGTCAGATCCCGCTCCAGGGGACCGGCTTCGCACGAGGTGAAGTCGAGATCCATTCTTGAGTCGGTGCCAGTCAAGCCCCCCCCCCCCCCCCCAAGTGCTCACCGCTCGCATGGCCACGCTGCGGGGACATCTCGCGGGAGCCTCCAGCAGCTGCTACCAGCCCGACGGCTCTGCGAAGATCGAGGTGGGCGACAGCGAGTAGCCGTGGACGGCGACGACGGAGACCAGGGCGAGCTCAGGGGCGACACGGATCACTGCATGTCCACGGCGGCGAAGCCAGCGGCTTGCGTGGCTGCGGCGGAGAATCCCGATGCTCACCCCTCCCTCTATCCCTCGTCCATCCGAGAGGTTTCAGAGTTCAGTCCAGGGCTTCAGGAAAGTCTCGGGGGCCTTCTTTCCCCGGGGACCGACCCCGGGGAATGGGCCGTCAAAAGCTTTCGGGTCCTGGGTCCTGGAGGCCAACGGAGATCTCAATCATTTCAAGGGGGGGCCCTCATTTTTTGACGCGCGGCCGTGGGGCCCCGAGACCGGGAGATCAGCGCCGCTGCAGGAAGTCTCGAGCAGAGCGCAATGGAAAGATGAGGTCTTGGGAACGCCCCAAGTGGATCACCTCCTGACCTATGCGTCGCGTCGGGCCCAGTGGGCCCCTTGCGTTGAATGTCCGAACGCGGGGATCATACGACTGAGGATCTGTTCCAGCATGGCGGGCGGGGCGGCCAAGCTAGTGGACTCGCTCTGGGCGGGGGCCTCTGCCAAGGGCCTAGTGGGCAATATCCAAGGACATCGACCTTCCGATCTCCAAGTGTCGGTCTGGAACTCGGTCGGGCCCTCTGCTGGGGTTCCTCAGGCCTGGGGGGTTCCGGAGAAGCGCCCGCTTCTTAGTTGTATAATCGCCTCGCCCTTAGCGTCGGCACCTCGTCGAGTTCGCGAATATGATCTTCGAACACTTTCGGGGGCGGGGGCGCGGGCCTCGAGGAGACAGCTAAGGCGACAGTCACTTCAAGAGCAAGCCCAAGAACGAAGGCCCTTGATTTTTTGACCGTTCGCGCCTCCACGGGCGACTCCAGAGCTAGAGAGGAGGGCGTGCTGTCAGCGGGGCCTTTGATCTGAAGACGGCGCGGGATCTGAGGCTCTTTCGCGAGAGAAACAAGATGCGGCAACTTAGCAATACCGAGAGACCCGAGGCGATCATTATGACCCCGTCTCGTCGGGGGGGCCCAGTTGCTAGAGCGCCTGCCGGGGACAGGATGGGCCCCAGAGAAAGGGATAGAGTCGAACAGGTATACTTCCGGGGGGTGGCCGCGCAGGTTGCTCCTCACCAGGTGTCCGAGGGAAGGCGATTCCTGATTGGGCCTCCCTTTGGGCCTTTTCCAGACAGCTGCAGTCGACCCAGCTCCTAGGAAAGCCAGGGGTTCAGGAGGCCCAGGGGGGCCAGCGCATTTTCGGGTTCCAAACTCTGGACGCAGGTTTGGCGATAACCTGCCAGGTTGATTTCTAGTTGCCCCGAGGCCCTGGGAAGGGTCGGAAAGCTGCGCCCCGAGAGTCGCGCCCATTCCATGCTCACCGGCGGCGCCGGGACATCAGCCGCTGAACGTTGCCCCCCAAGGCTGGCGAGCGCTCTTGCCGAGGGCGTTGAGCAGGCAATCTTTGCGGACCAGCCGAAGTCTTCTTTTCCGACGGCCGTGGCAGACCCTTTTGCCAACCCCGAGGCACAGGGGAAAGAATACAGTGAGTCAGAGGGCGAGCAGGAGACCCGGGGAACCGAGGAACCGCGGGGGATCGACGAGCACGAAGTCATTGTTTCCACGTGAATATCGGGCACCCCCGCTGGGAACATGTCGCTCGCACCCTGAAAGTCGGAAAGGCGAAGCCAGAGGTGGTTGGGCGGGTGCCCAGACATGTCAGACGCTCCGGCCGCGAATCCAGCCCTCGCCCAGGATGGGGGAGAAAGAGGCCTGCCCCCCCCCCCGAACTCATCGATTCAACGAGCTGGTCGCGGCCGACGCAGGCCCTATAGGGGAGACGCTTCCAGTTTTGAATAGAATAGACCACGGGTCTAATCTGCAGGGGTGCTGTCTTTTGAAAGCCGCTGCTTCAGCTGAGGCGTGGAGCGCCTTGCTCGTGCTGTGGCGAGACCCTTCGGGGCACTTGGGGCGACGATGACAGATGGGGGGATGGAATTTGCCGGGGCCTTTTTCAAGGGGCCTGCAGCGTGTAGGGACGCGCCATCACGTTTGCGACGCCGAGTCACCCCAGCAGAACGGGAGATGCGAGCGACACGGAGGCCTCGCGAAGATGGCTCTGGCTCGCGCGATCCTAGGCGCCGAGCCCACGTCCCTGGAAGAGGTTGATGGTATCCTCTGCGAGGTTGTCTCAGCGAAGAACCGGCACGCGCGCGGAAGAGGTTTCTCGCCATGCCAGATGTTTGGGGAGAATCCTAGACACTCCCGATCCCGTCTGTCCGGTGAGGCCTACGACGAGGTCGGGATTGGAGACGTCATCATAGGCGCCGCGGACGCTAATTCCACGGCAAGTGCATTTGCCCGGAAACACGCTCTCAGAGAAGGGGCCAAGAAGGCCACAATGGCCATGGACACTCGCGACAGACTGGCCGCCGCACAGAAGGCCAGGAGGCGCGTCGGCCAGATCTTCCCCCCAGGGGCCTGGGTGCGCGTCTGGAGACGAGGCGGAGGGGCCCGGGACAGGCAGGGGGGGGGCTGGGGCCAATAGAAGTCGGTGGACCGGCCCGGGGGCCGTTGCTTTTCGGCAAGGCACGACGGTTTGGGTTGCCACGCGGTCCAGTTTGCTCAACTGTAGTCAAGAGCAGATTCGGTGGGCCACGAAGGGCCCCGGGGTGCCGAACTTTTGGGTTCCCCTTCGTTTTCCGAGTTGCGTCAGAACTTAGCTCCCGTTCCCATGCTTCCGTCAGCGTTTGAGCCGCGGGGGGGGCGGGGGGGCAGGCTGCGAATGTTCCGCCCCTGCGGAGCGTCGAGGGGGCGTCCGCTGACCGACCCGTTCCAGTGGGCAGCAGCGACAGACTCTCTCCAGAATCTGCCTCCAGCACCCCCACTGTCTTGGATATAACGAGGGAGGGGGGGATTCAAGAGGTTCTGGGCGCTTCTCCGAGGCCTGCTTCCGAGCCGCGCACTGCTGAGCGACGAGGGGCTGAGGGTCCCGTTGAGCCACCCCCAGCCCAAAAGCCGATGCCCATTCCCATCGAGGAAGCCCCAGAGGGGCCAGGCCGGGTGAGAAGCGCCGTCCAGGAGACGCCTGCGGCACGATGCGCCACTCTGCTTCCGCCGCCCCGATGGACAATCGAGCGCCGAGTCCAGCTTGGGTCAGCCGCGCGGCAGACCACACGGGCGCCAAGAAGGAGGGCCATTGAGAGGGGCCACGGTCACCCCGGCGAGAGTCGGCCCAAGCTTCGCAAGGTGACGAGGAGGAAGAAGAGGGGATCTGTATGAGGAGGACGATTTAGAGCAGAATCTCTGGGAAGAACTCTGCTCGCGGCTTCACTTTTCGGACCGGTTTTGGGCCCATGGGCCGTCGGTTTCTTTCCCGGTTCCCATGGGGGTGAAACAGGAAGAGGGACCTCCTTCGCGCCGAGGGGCCGAAGTTTCCTTGAAGAGTCTATCGCCAGAAGAGAGACAGCTTTTTATTTCTTCTGGCGCCGCGGAGTGGAGAGCCACCCTTGACTCCGGAGCTGTTTGAGTTTCGTCCGCCTCTGAGGCCGCCCTCGCGAGGGGGGGGGTCTTGGCCGAATCCGAGGGTCCAGGATGGTGCGACGTTTCAAACCTCAGGGAGAAGTCGGGCCCAGGGTGCCCGCAAAATCACGACGGTGCGCCCAGGGCCACCGCGATCCTGACAGCGAAGAGCTGCACGTTGACTCCCCCGCTCCGAAGTCCCAGAGCATTACGATGACCCTTTCAGCAATTTGTTCATTAGGTTGGGCTCTAGAAATTGCCGACTGCCGGAACGCATTTTACCTGTCAGATCGGTTGGCAAGGCCAGAGGGGAAAATCTTTTGCGAGCCGCGCCAAGGTCTGAGCCTAGCTCCCGGAGAACTCTTGGAGCTGGTGGCGCCCGCGCGTGAAATCAACGACGCGCCATTGTTGTGGCATCGTACTTTGACTCACCTCGAAGCCTGTCTGTGGGTCAAACGCTCGTCCCAGGGTGAAATCCCTCCTTTGATTTCCATAAAGGTCGACGACCTCATTGTGGCGAGTTGTCCTAGGGAACGCGCGGGGCTCCGGGGCCGACTCCAGAAGCGTTGCAGGCTCGGGAAATGGGATTCAGGAGAAGCCGGTTTTGGGAGACACGCTGGGCAGGATGGGGGAAGAATCTGGATTGATCAAGAAAAGTACAGATTAGAACCGCTCTCCCCGATGAGACTCGCTTACTTGCTAAAGAACGCCAGGCAGACCCTGGCGCCCAGCTCACCCCCCGAGGAGATCAAGCCTCATCGGACCGCGGTCGCTCAGATCCAATGGCTCGGCAGAGAGAGCCGACCAGACGTGGCAGCCGGCGCTCCTTTGCAGATCGCTGCTTTGCCCGCCCCCCCAGTCAGTGATGCCATGTCATGTATCAAAATAGTGAAGCATCTCAAAAGTACTGCTAGTCAGAAGATTGTCATCTGGCCCCTGGACCCATCCAGTTTGACGTTCGCCACGGTGTCCGACGCCGGAGGCCCCGGGTCCGCTAGACGAAACGGGGCCCAGGGTGGGCGGTTGGTTCTTGCAGCCGACTCGACAATCAGACAGAACAACAGGGCGAGGGCGTCTCTTTTCAGCTGGAGGTCGACTCGTTTAAAAAGGGTTGTGGTCTCGACGGGAGCGGCTGAGACACTGTCTCTCTCAGCCGCGCTGGCGGAAGCTCAATTGTTGTCCACTCTCTGGCGCGACCTGATATTTGATGTTGTGAGACGCCCGGATTGGCATCCGTCTTAAGCTCCGTTCTCTGTCGTTTTAAGTCGAGATTGCACCTTGTCTGAGGGGGGTGAGTTTCTATCGGTTGTAGATGCCAAGTCTATTTTCGGCACGCTGTCGAAGAACTCCGCCGGTTCGAGAGCTGACAGAAGAAATTCGATAGAGGTGGCTGTCGTGAGAGACAGCCTCAGTGCAATAGGCTCACAAGTAAGATGGGTCCCCATGGTCGATTGGCCGCCGACGCTCCGACCAAGGCGGATCCCTGCTGAGGCAACCTGGCTCTGACCGATCTGCTCTCGAGGGGTACCCTGATATTGATAGATGAGATGGGCCACCTTACAGAACGGTTCTTAGATAATTCTCTCAAGTCCCGCTCCCGTCGTGCCTCCCGAGAATCCTTAATGAAAGCCGGCCAAATGGAGTCAAGCCCACGCCTCTGTTGTGAGGCTAAAGGGGGATCAGTCAACTTCGGCTATGTCAAGCCCATTGAAGTAGTCCCGGTGATGTATCTTTCCTCTTCTCCTCCTGTCTCCTTGGGTGTCCCATCGCCTCTTAGGCTTCACGCGTCCTGCCAGGGCCAAGCACGGATTGTGGCACGTAGTCGATGGTGCCCCTCTCTGATAAATTGATGTCCTCCGTCTTTTTCCCATCCACTTTCACCTCCTCCCTCTTCCCTCCTCCCTCCCTCCCTCCTCCTCATCTTCCTCTCCCTGCTGCTGCTCCTCCTCCTCCTCCTCCTCGCTCCCCCCTCGTTCCCCCCCCCTTCCAGCGCGAGGGTTTCGGGGGGGGGGGGGCAGGGCGCGAGGCCTTGCGCACGACTGCCGAGCGCCGAGCGCACCCCCCCAGGGCGTCGCGAGGCGCGCTCCCCCTCGAGCGGCGCGCACGCGCTGCACGTCGGAGCGAGGCGCAAGATTTCGGTCGGGCATGCCACTTTCACGTCCTCCTCCTCCTCCTCCTCCTCCTCGCCCTCCTCCTCCTCCTCCTCCTCCTCCTCCTCCTCCTCATCCTCATCCTCATCCTCATCCTCATCCTGGCCCGCGGCCGGGGCGGCGCGCCCGTCCCCGGCGGCCTCTGGGCAGTCCTTCGGCGGCCCCTTCAGGAGGAGTATTCAAACAGAGTAGAACAAATTCTGGGGACAACTCGTCGACTATGATTGCTTATGTTTGGTGTGTTTTGGCTATTGTGTCATTGTTCCTCCGAGCTCCGCCAGTAGGAGGACATGCCCGACCTAATTCGAACGGCGCGCGCGCGTTGTACGGTCGGACCGAGGCGAGGTCGGTTCGGGGAGGGTACCCTAATGTTTTTCGGGTTCGCTGGAAGCTCTTATGCATCCTGGTGGGGGTACCCTAGAACGGCTTGTGCTGTATGTTTCGGCCAGCGGATGGGTCTCATGTTCTTGAAGGAGGTTCCCCTGCCCTTAGGTCCAACGGTAAGCTCCCCACGCAAGATGGCGCGTAAGCGCCCTCGTTTCCGACGTAGCGTGCCTCGCTGGCGACCCGCGTGAGCCACCACGTGAGGTCCGTATGCCACCTCGCTTAAGACCCGTTCGTCTTCGTCACCTGGGTGTGATTGTGCGTCGTGCTTGTCTTCGTGGATCATGGCGCCGTCGTGGCGGCGTCGGCGAAGGCACACTTACCTTCCACTTAGAGCACGTCACACTGATGGCCGCGGGTCATCGCTGGTATAGTCGCTCGCTGAAGCGAGGCGAGCTTGAGTATGTAACAAAGATTCTCTCACATCGCGGGGTGGACAGGCGGCCTGCTCTGGCGCTGCCGCTGCCCTCGCGCCTGGCGCGTTGCCCAGGCTCTCCCCGCAGCTGAGCGAGGAGCCTTCCCCTCCCATTCATGTTTCGGGGATGGAGGTGGAAGGCAGAGCGCTCGGTGGAGTGCTTTCTTTGTTGCAGCGGAGCGCGACGGTCACCCCGCCTGCGCCCTCGTCAGGGTATAGGCGAGGTGGGCGTTGCGCTCGCCAGCGATGTTTTCGATATTGGCTCTCGCAGCTCGGATGCTCCTGCTCGTCGGTTTTCTGCGCCAGCCCACTCTCTAAGAGAGATGTCGTGCCAGGCCCGTCTCGAGCTCGAGCAGCAGGAGGGTGGTGCTCCTCCCTTGGCCCCACGAGCCTGCGATTTTGATTCAGGTGACTCAGACTGAATGGGTCGCCATTCGGGGAGCTAGCATCCCCTTCCGCTGCTGGCTCGCTACCTTTGTCTGTCCAAGGATTTGGAGACGTTGGCGTTGATGTCAAAAAAAATAAAATCTGGAGTATGTGCGTTTGGGCGTTTGGGGCTTCCTGGGACCTTTGAAAACCTCTTGGGCCCTCGGGAGCATCTTGGGGCCTCTTGGAGACTTTTTGGCTGCCTCTTCGGGGCGTCTTCGGGCGCCCTTGGGCCCTCTGGAGGCTGACCCTCGGGCCCAATTCGCTCCAGCGGCATCGGCAGGAACGCAGCCTGTCCCGAGCACGTCATCTTTGGCTGTGGCGACTCTTGACGTGACGCTTTTGCTGATGTGCATCGTGCTGTGCTTATGTTTTTTTGCCTGGACACGGTCCACGATCCGTTGTTGCTGAAGTGCACCACCCCCGGCCGGTAGGTCAAGCGACGCTGAAAATGTATTGCGCCATGTGTCAATACAAACATGCGCGTTTGGCCTGCCGCTCCTCCCACCTTTCTGGTGACAACCCCTCAGGGAGCCTCCTGGGATCCGCCCTCCCTCCCCGCACGCACCGAGCGAGGGGGGGCAGGGCGCGCCGGCCGCGAGGTGGGTCAAGGCGGCATCTTCGCTGGCCGAGAACCCCGATATGCTGAAGCAGGCGACGGACGCCATGTCGCAGGCGGGCCCGGCTCCTCCTCCTCCTTCTCCTCCTCCTCCTCCTCCTCCTGCTCCTTCTCCTCCTCCCTCCCTCTCTCCCTCCCTCCCTCCCTCCCTCCCTCCTCCTCCCTCCTCCCTTCTCCCTCCATTCCTTCTCCTTATAGATAACTTTGCCCTGTCGCACCCCGAGGCCTGTTTTTAGGGCGGGCTGGGCGTTTCGCCTGAGACGTCCTCACCATTCATGATTTTGAAGTTTAAAAAGTGAGCAGTTTCACACATGAAGGGCGGGTCGCTTTCAAAATGTGGCTCCCGCCTGAGCGCCGCGCACATTCGCTTGAAACACTTGCAAGAGTTTAACGGATTGAGGGTGGGTGGTTTTCAAAATGTGGCTCTTGCCTTTGCGCCGCGCACATTCGTCTCAAACATTTGCAAAAGCTTCACGGGTTGAGGGTGCTTCAGCGCCGCGCACATTCGTTTTCTTTGTTCTTTTAAAATGTTGCAAGACCTTCACGGATTGAGGGCGGGTGGTTTTCAAAGTGTGTCTCTCGTTTTAGCGCCGCGCACACTCGTATACAAAAACATACAAGAGTTCTGCGGATTGGGGGAGGGTGGTTTTCAAATTGTGGTTCTCGCCGTAGCGCCGTGCACATTCGTTTAAAAAATGCAAGAGCTTCACGCAGTGAGGGCGGGTGGTTTTCAAAATGTGGCTCTCGCCGTAGCGCCGCGCACGCTCGGTTTTTTAACGTTGCAAGAGTTTCACGGATTTCCATGATCAACGTACCATACATTGTGTTTTTGACGGATTCAGGACTACGCGGGCGCAACAGTTATGTTGATTCGTTGTGTTGAAAACCCAAAATGGCGTTCTGGCAAGATTCTGGATCGTCAAGACGCAGCAGTCAGGTTGATGCGTGGCGCTGACATCCCGAGAACAATGTTTTGGCACGTTTCAGGACCTTCAAGCTGTTGTGTTCCAACGAGGCAGTTCCCTCAATGGAAATGAACCGTCAGAAGGGGCCTGTGAAGAGGGAGCTTGGAGGGAGGGTTCATTCCAACATCGTTGATGACTTGGGTTTCCACTGGTCCTCCTCCCTCCTACTCCTCCCTCCTCCTCTTCCTCCTCCTTCCCCCTCCTCCTCCTCCTCCTCCTCCTCCTCCTCCCTCCTGTTCGTGGGTGAGGTGCAGGGCGCGGGCGAGCGAGCGAGCCCTGCGCCAGACGGCGCGCGCGGGCAAGGGGAGGCAGAGAGCGCTGCGCCGTCGCATTGCGGCGCCACGCGGTGTCGTCCGGGCGCCACGATTCGGCATCGTTGAACCCATCCCCATCCCCATCCCCGTCCCCATCCAGAACCCCTCGCATCCTTGCACACCAGATGGGGACACACACCTCGAATCCCGAAGGAAAACGGCCTACATCCCCATCTAGGGGGTCCATCGGCCATTGGGGCCCAGGCCACGTTCATGGAGATAGGGGCCGGTCAAATGGTTTCGCTGCCACCTCCCACGAGGCTGCCGCCCCGCCTGCTTGGCGGAGCCATGCCGGCCGCGCGTGGTAACCCGTTGCTTGCGGGAGCCATGGGGCAGAGACCTCACCAGGTGGTGGTCTCTGCGAGGTCTTGGCGGGGCTGGTCGCCAGGCTGTTTGCAGATATCCCAGTGCCGTTTTTTTTGCTCGGAGTGTCGCATTCTGCCTGTCGACTGCTAACCCCGTGCAGTCTGGAAGGGCATTCAAATCGACTGGTTAGGGTAGCTCGTTCGGCTGGGCTTCCGTTCTCACTAATATTGGCAGTTCCCTCCTCGAGAATATATGACACCTCACGTACTCCCACCAGCACGTCGATAAGCTAGTTTTTGCGAGAGGGGTAGTGGGACAGCGTACGTACAGGGAGGGGGAAGTGGGTCAAACCGAAGCTGGAGTCAGCCCGAGCAACCTCAACAATGATCAGCTTCGGAGGCCTCCTTGAGCCATCTAGATGGCCGTTTGAGGCCACTCCGGGAGCTTCGAGGCTTGGGGGTTGTTTGGGGGCATCCCAGAAGCCATCAACCAAAAAAGTGGTTTGTATGTATTTGGCGCAACCCCCTTGGAGCCAGAAAGATCGTCTCTTGGAGCTCTCCTGAGTGCCTGAGGAGCCCTGTTGGGATCCTTTTGGGCTCTCCTTGGCCCTCTTTTTTCATCGTGGCGTCACCTCAAAGCCTCAGAAGCCAATCGACAGAAAAGCATAGTGAAACAACAAATCAGTGAAAAGCCTTCGGTGTTTGAAGGTTTGTAGCCTCTCGTCGGCATCCTTCAGAGGCTGCATGGCCACCTTGAGCAGTCTCGTGGTGGCGTCGAGGCATCTCGAGGGCACGCCAGAGGTCATGTTGGCGGCTGACGGGCCTCTGGGCTCGCCTCCATTTCCGCCCCCGTGCTCTCGCTTCTGCTCGGCGCCCCGTGCCATCCGCCTCCTTACTCTTCTCTCGCCAGTTAGCACCTTGCTTAAAATCTCCTCCTCCTCCTCCTCCTCCTCCTCACCATCATCATCATCATCATCATCATCATCATCATCAGCAGCAGCAGCAGCAGCAGCAGCATCAGCATCATCACCACCATCAGCAGCAGCAGCATCAGCATCAGTATCATTACCCTTGAACATGATCATGACCACCATTGCCATCATCATCATCACCACCATCATCAGCATCAGCATCAGCATCATCAACATCACCATCACCATCACCGTCATCATCACCATCACCGTCATCATCACCATCACCATCACCATCATAATCAGCACCATCACCATCATCATCATCATAATCATCATCATCATCATCAGCAGCAGCATCATCATCATCATCGTCACCACCACCACCATCATCATCATCATCATCACCAGCATCATCACTTTTATCATCATCATCATCATCATCATCACCACCACCATCATCATCATCATCGCCACCATCGTCATCGTCATCATCACCATCACCATCACCATCACCATCACCACCATCATCATCATCATCATCATCATCAGCATCATCATCACCATCACCATCACCATCACCATCACCATCACCATCACCACCAGAATCCTCCTCCTCCTCCTCCTCCTCCTCCTCCGCCTGGCAGCACCTCGGTCGAAGCCGTCTCCGTCTCCTCCCCCGGGCAGGAGGCCATGCTCGCGGGCACCGGAAATGTCGCCGTTCCGCCCCCATCGATTGGTTTCGCCTCCTGGACCTCGGCTGCTGGATTCCTTCCTCCTCTCCGGGCACCCCCTCCTGGGACCTCCCTCCTGGCCCCGCGGCGGCGCAAAAAGGGGGCGCGGCCGTCCGAGTCGGAGGCGCGGGGGATGCGTGGCGGCCCGGCGTGCAGGCGAGGCCACCGACGCTGCCTCGCAGGGCGATGGTCAAGTCGGGCACGCCCCTCTACAGGAGGAATACAGTGGGGGCCCATGCCAAGAAACACCCTGCTCGCCTCCAGGGTGCCCTGGGCTTCTTGAGCTTCGATGGTTCTGCGATGGAGAGCGTGACGTTCCCACACCAAAAGCCTATGGACGTCCTGGGGTCTCATGGTTGGGTTTCTTGCGGAAGGTCTCTTGTGGTCGGGCCCCTACTGTACCGCACCCAATGTCCTGGCCTCAATGGGCGGGGCCTCGAGGAGGGGCGCCTCCTCGCGAGGCCGAGCCCGTCGAGGGGGCGGGGCCTCGAGGAGGGGCGCCTCCTCGCGAGGCCGAGGCTCCCCTCGAGGGGGCGGGGCCTCGAGGAGGGGCGCCTCCTCGCGAGGCCGAGGCTCCCCTCGAGGGGGCGGGGCCTCGAGGAGGGGCGCCTCCTCGCGAGGCCGAGCCTCGAGGACGTGCCCCCCCTCGCGCCTCCTCGGGCTGGGGCGGCGCGCGCAGGGCCGAGGAGGCGAGAGCTTCACCAGAGGCAAGAGTAGCACGACCGCCAGCTAGGGTCAAGTCGGGCGCGTGTCCCTCTACGGGAAGAATGTTCAGACACAGTCTGAGCAAACAGTCCGGGGACGATGGTTTGAAGTATTGTCCATACCGTTGAGCAGTGTTGAGCTATTGTTGACTTTTCCTCCAGAATCCGCCTGTCGGGGGACATGCCCGACCTAAGCCCAGGCCGAGAAGGCGAGGGTCACCAGAGACAAAAGTACCACCACCACCAGCTAGGGGGGCGGTTGTCCCGCCCTCTCGAGCTGGTGGCGCCTCGCTCCGGGCGTCCCTCCAGAGAGTTCACTCGGAGGGAGCTGCCACCAGCTCAAGGGGGGGGAGAGCGGCCACCCCCCTGGCTGGTCCTCCTCCTCCTCCTCCTCCTCCTCCTCCTCCTCCTCCTGCTCCTCCTTCTTCTCCTCCTCCTCCTCCTCCTCCTCCTCCTCCTCCTCTCCTGGGCGAGGGGGCGGGCCCTCCCAGGAGGCGGCGGAGCTCCTGCTGCTGGCCCTCCCGAGGAGCCCTGCGGCCTCGGAGCAGGCCTCGGGAGCTCCTCCGAGGGCCAGAGGCCTTCGAAGCCGTCTGATCCAAGGGCTCCCTCGAGGGCGCGAAGTTATTCTCGCTTCGCGCTTCGCGGTTCGGCTCCGATTCCTCCTCATCCTCCTCTTCTCCCCTGGGAGGCGGCGCGAGAGCGCGAAGTTATTCGCACTTCGCGCAGCGCGAAGCGCGAAGTTGGGAGCCCTTGCTGATCGGGCGGGTGGCAATGGAGGGGGAGGGGGGCGCCGATGGGGGATGGAAGAAAAAGGCCCCAAAGGGGCCTTTTAGGGCCCCTTTTGGGCCCCCGCAGGCTCCACAAGGGGCCCTAAGGTGCCCCTTTGGGGCCTTTCTCTTCACCCCCCCATTTCGGTCGCATCCGCCCGATCTGAGAAAGCCCCACCCCTCTGCCTATCCCCCGAGGCTTGATTCGGGCATGTCCCTGTGCAGGAGGAAAAATTCAGGAACAGTAAAGCAACTAGTCTGGTGACGATTTTTCGTGCTTGACTATTTTGATTTGTTGTTGATATTGATCTGTCTTCCTTCCAGAACCCAGACATCCGACGTCTCGATTTTTCGGAACTCCGGCCCCCAACTCCCAACCACTTCCCTGGGACCGGTTTTTCATCCCGAAGCGTTGTTTGACGGTCCCGAGGCTTGGCGAGGGCCCCGAGAGGCCAAAAACTACGAACAATTTCCGTTTCGATGTTTTTCGAGACGCCCGATGTTTGGAAATTCGCTTGTAGGAGGACGTGCCCGACCTAACCTTGGGCGCGCCACCCGGTTTCGGGCGGCGGGGTCGACCTCGTCTGGGGTTTGGCCTTGCTTGCCGCCGCCCGCCCGGCGGCGATGCCGGCCGCCAGCAGGCTCAGGAGCTCCCTCGTCGTCGTTTCTCTTTCTCTTGCCACAAGGGCTCCTCCTCCTCCTCCTCCTCCTCCTCCTCCTCCTCCTCCTCCTCCTCCTCCTCCTCCTCCCTCTTCCTCCTCCTCCTCCTCCTCCTCTTCCTCCTCATCCTTCCCCTCCTCCTCATCTTCATCCTTGTCCTCCTCCTCCTCCTCCTCTTCCTCCTCCTCCTCCTCCT